GGAAATTGGGAGCTGTTTTATCATGTGTCTGATGCTGCATTGTTTGTATCTCTGTGATGCTGGCTTCTTTGAGTCCCCAAGAGGAAGAAAAGGGGGTTGGAGATCTTGTGATATCTGTGTCAAACTGCTAAATCACTTTCAAAGGCACTCCTTACAGGTAGAGAACTTGATATTAATGTCTGCATGCTAAAAAGCAGTGTCTCTTTTCACAAAAGCACCTCTAACTTATTCAGAAACAATATCTTTTAAAAGAAGTCTCTGAGCTGACAGGAAAAACAAATGTGAAGAAAACATTTGCATTATAATTTTCCTGTGGACTTCAGGCCGTGATTTCAAAGGAAAAGTTTGACTATGAAATTTAAAAGCAGGGTTTTTTTTTAAAGGCCCCCTTTTTCCCCCCTCCTCCTATCATTTGCTGTTTTCATTTCCTTGCTGCTGGAATCCAAGTAGAATTCTGTGTGATTTCCATTGGAAGCAGAGCATGTGGGAATTCAAGATGGAAGCGTTTTATTCTCAGATGCAATTATCATAAGTACTGTTACTTTGCTGGAAATGAACATTAGGAAAAGAGGTTGCCTTCTACACAGGCAGTGCAAGCTTTTTTTTTAATGCCAATGATCACTGGAGGGCAAGATTTTCATTGCAACATAACTTAAGAGTAAAGGGTTACCTTTCCAGTTTCCTCACTTTACAATCTCAGTTGAAATAAGAAGCACAGCTATTACTTTTTTTTTAACCTGTGTGCAGTTGCTAATTGCACTTAATTAACTGAGCTATTCTTTTGATTAATTAAGTGTAGATAGCTATTTAAAATCGACACAGACATTTTTACTTTTACTTTTAACTTTTTTTATTATTAAGAAGGGAACCTCTCCTGACTTCTTTTATGGCTGGGAGGGTAGACGGGCTGTGATTGAACCTTTTCAGGGATTCACAACTGGGAAATCGTTGAGAGGGCTGAAGTAGAAAAAAACAATTTCTTAAATTTTCTTCCATTTAAAGATCTAGCACCCCAAAGTCAGGAAAAATGTAGAACTACATGCAGCAGTTTCCATGGTGTTTCACTATATTTTAAAGATTTAGTTTTCTGTTAAGAGCTGAAAAGAAAATGTTCACATGTGAAACAATTCAACTAGAAATACCTATTTTTGTCCATTTATCTTTGCTGAATTTGAGCATGTACACCCAGTCAGAAATGGTCTCTGAGATGTTAAATGCCTCAAGACTCCTGCTGTTTTCACATCTCAGCAAGAAGGTACAGTGTTGGCTTTTCATTATCAGCCTGAAGGAAGGTGTCTTCTGGTGGAAATGCAGTTCCATATGCTTCTGAAATACATTTTTCTCTGCAGAATTACAGCTGAGGAATTCTTACTCCTCAGGAATATAGCTTCACCCTTGTTTCTTTGTGACATGCTGTTTAGAACAGCTGGCTCAGTAGAAAAAAGTTTATCCATTTTTATTAGATAAATGTATGGATTTATATGCCTCCTTCTCTCTAGAGTTCTAGATGGCTCACAATAAAAGAGCTATCTATCAGAATGGGATATACAGTCCACCTTTTAAGCTTTCAGAGCAGGGAGATACAGATGTTACATTATGTCCTGCCTCTGTGTATAGGGTTTTACTTGACTTTTTCTCCACCTTCAACATCCCCTTTCTGTTTTTACACAATGTATATCCTGGGTAGTATTTTCAGTTACCCTGACCACCAGGAGGCAGGCATTAAATGCCCCGTTTCCTCCTATTTGGACAGGGGCATGATTGTAGATATCATTCTGATAGCCCTTCCTGATAGTCCTGATAGTCCTTCTTGCAACTGCTGAGCCCCAGGACCTGGATAACTCCTAAAACTAATGCACTGAAAATAGTCATCTAAAGTGCAAAGGTTCATGAGTTCAGTTCCCAGTTGAAGGTCTGAACCTGTCAGGCCTAGCCCAAGGAACTCCAAGAGACCATGTAGATTTAGTTCAGCAATGTTTATTAGCTACAACCTCTAGCAAGAACCTTCCCAGACTGAAACCCCAGTTCCCAAAGTCAGCCAGTCACAGCAGTGTTAATTCCTCAGAGAGGTGCCAGCTTCATCCTCTTATCTCTCCCTCGTCCCTCAGGAGACAAAAGAGCATGTTTTCCTCTCTGAGTTTGGCCTTCATAATTCCATTCCATCACAGAACCCCATAGAATAACATCTGGCCACCAATGTCTGATGAGTCCTAAATAGGATGAAACTGCTCACGTAGTGGAGCCCTTGGGGCTCTCTGAGCTTGCTCCATGTGTTGTGAGATTAAGGAGTTTTCATTGTGTCTTCTGACTGCTAGTTGGTGTTCATGGATGCGCTCTGCTAGCCTTCTGCCTGTCTGTCCTACATAGTGGTTGTTACAGTCTTTATACTGTATGTTGTAGATGACTCTTGTTTTTTCTTCTTGGGCTACTGGGCCTTTTGGTTTGCTTAAGATTAAGACTCCTTAATCTCACAACACATAACCATAGTTTCAACGGGGAAACTGTCAGCATCTTAGACCAAGCTAAATCCAAAAATGCGAGGGAATTCTTGGAAGCTTGGTATTCAGCAGCCACCAACAGGCACATAAAGATAAACAACATCTACACAATATTCAAAAGAGACAATAGAAAGGAAAACAAAAGACCAGAACATCTCCTCACCAGCAATCATCACCCAGAGAAGCAGAGATTAACTCCAAGATTACCACCAGACATACCAGCACTAAACAATACCTTAATCAAGGAACTACCAGAGGGAAAAAATAAAACAAAACAAAGCCCCCACCCCCACCAACACTGGCAGGGCCTGCCACTGTATA